GCGGGCGATTCCTGTTGACCAGCTGTCGATTGGCTTTACTGGAACAGTCATGATGACGCTGTTTCCAAGGCAATCTCCTTCGATTCCGGTGAAAACGTGCTAAGCTTCCGTCCGTCATGATGTAGAGTATATATACCACTTTGTAGGGATTTGCCGGTGAATTTTCTTGACTCGTTAGCTCGAATTTTTTTGTGACGATGCTACCTCGCTCTGATGATGTCCGTCAATTTACGGACGAAAGCTTAGCACGTTTTCACCGGCATCGAAGGAGATTGCCTCGGAAACAGCGTCAGCATGAATCTTCCAGTAAAGCCAATCGACAGCTGGTCAAGCGGAATCCGTCACTGGTCGTCTTCTGGTGGAACCGACATTCGAATCTCTTCACGCAACACTTTCACTCGAACTCCGTCGCTGGTCGTCTTCTGGTGGAACCGACCTTCGAATCTCTTCACCCAACACTTCCACTCGAAATGGAACCGAGTCGTCTTCTGGTGGAACCGACCGTCGAATCGCTTCACTCAACACTTTCACTCGAAATGGAAGTCAGCTCAATGTCTTCTGATGGAACCGACCTTCGAATCTCTTCACCCAACATTTCTACTCGAAATGGAAGTAATCCCAACATTCTTCTGGTGGAACCGACCTTCGAATCTCTTCACCCAACACTTTCACTCGGAATGGAAGTAAGCTCAACAATTGTCTTCTGGTGGAACCGACCTTCGAATCTCTTCACCCAACACTTCCACTCGAAATGGAATTAAGCTCAACAGTTTGGTATTCGGTTTGTTGGACGGCGTTCCAAGTATTGCTTCGCTCAAATTGACACTTGCAACTGAAAGGTTTCTGAATGAAGCCAATCTACGAATTATTTTATTCAGTATTATCATTATAGCTGAAGGTTCCAGCGTCATTAAATAGTCAATATATATTCTTCCAAACGCAATTTTCATCCTACATGCGTGTTTTAATTATCTTGATGTAGCTGAAATATGTGCTCTATACACACCACAATGTCTGCTTTGGCCTACCTGAAGATGTGG